CACCTTCATTTGTTATGATTGTTATGATCATGTACTAATTTCGGTCGTTCAGCTTTGGATTTATAGTGCGGGTAGTAGCGCTACCAATATCCTTCCAGTAACCTCGTTCTCATAGGCTACTATTTTGCATTCAATGTCGGAATCTTCGCTTCCTACGCTTAGACATTTTTCCAATGAGTGCTTGCCAAATGGTATTGGAGGGCTTCCACGCCGTTCGAGAGCATATGCATAGTTTCTTCCGGTCTCACCGAGTTATGTTTCGTCACAGGATCATCACTGCAGTTGGTACTCTTCTCCTTGTTGTGTACAGTCTCCATCCTTCCCAACTGGAAAAATATTATTCGCATAGTCGTAGAGCCTATTACTGATCAGATGTCGTTTAATACTGTACGGTGGTATGTTTACAAGGTAACAACATTAGTCAAATCTGCTCGTGCAATGCATTGCCGAATCTCTATGCCGACTTTGCCTTATATGAAAGCTAGCTGAAACTGCAACATCTTCTCACGACTCGTCGGAGAATGCCGTCGTGAGCCTCATCTTTATATTGTCTCTCATGATCATGCAACCTCCGATCTCAGATGTCTTTTGTCAATCTTTCGCAGCTCTCCTCGCTCCACTTATCCTGCACATAATCAGGACGTTATGGACAAGTGCACATTTTACAGCTCTGAGATATGCGTGGAGTAGGATGTTATTGGAGCTGTTCTTCTTTTTCCCTATGAATGTTCATCTTCGCTAAGTACCTTTTCCCTATATATATTCCTTTTGACATATTGATCTTCGTGTTGTGATAAGAAAGCCAGCCATCGTGCGGAACATTTTTTGTGAACTTGATATGATAGACCGCCAATTGAGACTATTAAGTAATACGTACATCTGCATTGATATAATTATGCAGCAGCCATCGATGCAACGACAGTGCATAACATGCATGCTGTCTATAATATAATTCGCATTTCTATCCTGCTCATAAGGCAATAAGGCATATAGCTAGGACCGGTGTTAGTCGCTGACCCATAGCAAGTCCCCTGTTCTGAAAGAAGTATTGTTCACTCCACTTGAAATATACGAACGAGGCAATCCTCTATCAGAGCCATAATGTGAACCTTGTTCACTCCGAACGTAACAACTTCTGCTTTGTGTTGATGCAGCATTTCGAAAACGGCTGAGGAGTTTGGTTGTTTCTCACGTTTGTAAAAAGGGCGATTACATCGAATGACTCCATCACACAATTTTCTTGAAGCCTAAAACAGCGACTCATTTCTTTGACAAAAACATCTGTGGAAGGATAAAGTCTTTTCGGAACAGTCAATCCCGTTGAAGGGATGCGGCCCGCTTTAAAGTTCTAGACTTAGCGTTTCAATGCGTATGTAGGCTATGCAATGACTTGCGGTGGCCAGACGATATACATATCAAAGCATCTGTCCGCAACAACGGGCCTGACAGGAATAAAGCGACATCCGTTAGGATATAGTCCTGGTGGGCTCAGACGTGTATCGATCAGGGATCGATCTTTGAACAGCATGTGTCATAGCGTAGCACTTGCCAGTAAACCACACCTGCCCGACTATAGTTATACTGACTGCTTCTTCTCCCATCGTTCTAGGAATCGCTTCTACGGCTGCTTAAGAATGTTCATTGGCCAGCGACTATTGGCAATCGCGACCTGGCCGATTTTAGAGATTTCATCTTCTGCAGAAGCGGCCATGTCTGGGCTTGTGATGCACGACAACGCGGAAACGTGCTTATCCATATTGACTTCAACACCACATAAATAAGCAAATAATTGGTGAAGCACAAAGAGAAGCTCAAAGCTCGAAGCAGAAGATAGAACGGACAGATGCCCACAAAGTTCACTTCAACTGCGTACCTCAGATTTATCGGAAAAGGGGCCTTTGCGCGAAGTTAAAACATAAACTCTGATAGAACAAAAACTTTTGCGAGTGGCATAAAAAGTCATATCTCCATAGATATTTGATTACATGCGGAATATTAAGGTTCAAAAGACCGTGGAAACCCAGTTGCGAACCCAATAATATGTTTCATTGCCTATCTTCGATTGTACGTTGCACGCTACTGCTAAAACTTCAGTT